CTGCAGCGGCGCCATAACGTGCGGCCCGACGTGCTGCTCTGCTGCGGCGACTTCCAGGCCGTGCGCAACGAGGCGGACCTGCGCTGCATGGCCGTGCCCGCCAAGTACCGCCACATGCAGACCTTCTACCGGTGAGCGCTGCCGCGCCCGGGCCGCTCCCGCCCGTCCGGCCTGCCCGCTACCGCCGTGTCGTGTCCCCGCAGGTACTACTCGGGCGAGAAGAAGGCTCCCGTGCTCACCATCTTCATCGGCGGCAACCACGAGGCGTCCAACCACCTGCAGGAGCTGCCCTATGGCGGCTGGGTGGCCCCCAACATCTACTACCTTGGTATGGTCTGGCTGTGAACATTTGGCACCTGGTCCCTGTCCAGTCCTGCCGTGACAAGCTGCCCTCCCATCTCCCCTAGGTTACGCTGGCGTTGTGCGGTTCCGCGGCGTGAGGATCGGCGGCATCTCGGGCATCTTCAAGTCTCACGACTACCGGAAAGGTATGGTGGGGTTTTGGGGCTGTCTGGGGCTGCCTGGAGCTGGTGGATATCATGGCAGCTGCTTGTCAGCCACAGCAGGAAATAAATGTGCCCTTGGAATGTTTGGGGTAGCCATGATGCTTCCTTGGCAAGGCCACTTTAGCACTTATTATAAAGCTCTTTAGCTTTATCTGTGTCAAACTTATAAGAAGCATGGTGTCACACGAATGTTCTCTCCTGAACTGAGACTTGCTGTGAGATTGATTCCCCCAGGTTTGTGTTGAACATTGAAGGGTCTCCCTGGGTGCTTAGAGATCTGCTCACAGCTATTAGCTGATGTCAGTAATACCTGAAGATAGATTAGTCTTCTCATCTCATCCACTTGGGGGATAATAATTTCTTATTTGCAATTATGGTACAGTGATACTGTTTTTCATAAGATACTGCTGCAGAGAAGCTTTGTGGGTGTCTTTCATTCCGTACAGTAATAAAGTAGTTTTCTGAAGCACTTGCTGACCTGAGCATCACTCTTTGCTTACAAGACTTTTTCACAATAGTGTTAGCTGCTTAAAAAATGCTTGTTGCTCAACCTAAGAGTATGGGGGAGCTGTGCCAGATATTCAATTTTCTTGTCTTGAGGCAAACTGGTGGACTAGATCCTCCTTGGTGAGGGAATGTTTTTGCTGATCTGGCAAGCTGTGCATTCGTGATTGGGCCTTGAATATCAACACATTATATCAGCGGCAACCGTGAAAGTACAGTTACTTGTTTCAGAATCATCCTGGATTTTGAGCATTGCAGTCAAACTCCTAGTTTGATGTTCCTCAAACGAATTACTGCATTTTCCACATACAGAAAAACTAGAGAGACTGGAAGAAACGTTTGCTGTAGTAGTGTGTGTGTGTGTGTTTTTTTTTTTCTCCTCCTTTTTTTAAATTGGCTTGCCTCATGAATGGAAAGAGTTAGCAGACTGTTGGTTTAAGCCTTCTGTAGAGGAAAATGCAGCATCTCCCGCAACCATAAGCTGTACTTAATATTGCCCTAGAGGTTTGTCCCTCCCTGGGAGGTCAACTTGCCAGCAGAGTTAGGAGGGAACTGGCAATGCAGACAACTCTTCTTGCTTCAATGTTTCAGGCCACTTTGAGTGTCCACCATACAACCAGCAAACAATAAGAAGCGCTTACCACGTGAGGAATATCGAGGTCTTCAAACTCAAGCAGGTTAGTGTTTTTTTTTTGTTTGTTTTAAAAACAATAATGTATAATACTGATTTTCATTAACTTGGAAACAAGATCCTAAAGCTGTTCTGAACAGTATACTGGTAAAGAACTGAGACTTCTCTTCAACACTTGCTACTTCTGACTGGATCATTTATGCTGGCTGTGATTCTGCAGTTGTTCCTGTGGCACATCTGCTCTGCTGCTTTGCTTAGTAGTGCAGACTTGCTTGATTTAGGTGCAGGCATGAGTATGGTCTTTTTTGTTTGGTTGGGTTATTTATAGGATAAAATTCACAACAAGAAGGTACTCCAACTGTATGCATTTGTTCTAAATTTATATAATATGTAGGAAGACAGGTACTACCTTGTCTAATATAAAGCCTGGTTGATAAAAAGTTAACAAGTCAAAATAAACAGGAAAATGAACCACCAGAGTGAGCTGATGACAAATGTGCTGAATATTGAACCAAGGTGTAGTTGACACATTGAAACGGGTGGTTCCTTTGAGGAGGACTATCATATATAGCCATTATCTCTTTTAAACAAAGCTTTTAAATTTCATGAAGAAGAAAACATTAATGTAGACAGAACTTTCTCCGCAGTTGTAGTTTCAAGCATATTCTCAGTGTCTGACGCTACCTGTAAGTTGTGCTATCTCTTATAAGGCAGCATAGAGGTGAAGCACAGCACAGAAGGCTGCTGCCTTGAAAGTGTTACAAGAGCTGTGGGGAGTCTTTTGATAACCTCAAAAGCCACCGGGAAGATTGTGCTGGTACAATTTCATTGCTCTAAAATGTGAGGCTGTTGGTCACTGCTGACTATCCAATCTGCAAGAGAGCACCTGCTGTTAAATAAGTGCCATTTTGTGCTGTGTAAATTTTTAAATGTGGTTTAAATGTGTTTATTCACCCTACCTGCCTTTTTGGCTTGATAGCTGAAGGGTCCCATGGATATATTTATGTCACATGATTGGCCAAGGAGCATATATCACTATGGGAACAAGCAACAGCTTCTTCAGATGAAATCCTTCTTCCGTCAAGAAGTGGAAAGCAACACGCTAGGAAGCCCTGCTGCTTCAGAGCTCCTGCAGCATCTGAAACCCGCCTACTGGTTTTCAGCACATCTTCATGTTAAATTTGCAGCTTTCATGCAACACCAGGTAAAGAAAAAGAAGCAAGAATGTGTGTGTCCAAGTATATATAAGAACTCCAATGCAGGAAGTCATGTCTGGAAAAACAATTGATCTTGATGTTTTCACTCAGTTATTAAAACAGCTGGCAAGCCCCAAGATTTTAGTTAATCTGAAGGCTACTAGCTTATGTAAGTAAAACGTATGTTATCAGTGGTGCAACAGGCTGATCTTTAGGGACAGCAAATAGCTAACTGTTGAACTTGAAGTGTTTTGATATTAAAATTTGTAATAAAGCTGCCCTTTTAAGCACTTCTCTGAGAAAGGAGACAACTTTGAAAGAAAGTGATAGAGAAGGGCAGCAAGTGACTCAGAAGACCATAGTGGGATAACTGGAACAGGAGGGTGCCTGAAGTTAAGGCCTGCCAGGTGAAGTACTCCAGGCTCCTTAGATGAACCCCAAAACTCCCATAGGCTGAGGCTTCTTTTGCTTGATTTAAGTTTTTACTGGAAGTGATGTCACCTGCTATTCCCATTTGCAAACTATTTTCTTGTTAAGCTGTAACTCTAGACCTTCTGTACTCAGCAGATCTGTTTGTAATTATGTTACAGTTTTCTTTCACCATCAAGGTAAAGTTGGCTCAGCTGCCTTGGTTGACAGAGACCAGTGGTTCTTGCTTTATGTTGTTAGCATCCAACTTTCTCTATCTAGAATTCTACCTCTCTTTATCCCTTCACCCTCTGTTATATCCCATGATGTTTCTCTGTTTGAGAAACTCTTCTTCTGTTTAAAATATGCCTTTAAATCTCTCTTACTTAATTGAAATGGCCATATTTCAATAAATATTAATGTTAGTGTAAATGCTGCTTGTTTTCTAGACGACCTCCAAAGAAGAGCTACCAAAAGCAACGAAGTTTCTTGCTCTGGATAAATGTCTGCCTCACAGAGACTTTCTGCAGGTGATGGCCATGTACAGTGTGTTTTTACTATGCACTGCACTTGTCTGAACTGCAGTGTGTGTGCTCAGATAGCTGGGGAACAGGTGTGATAAGCAGGGCATGTGTATAGAAATTAGGTGCACATACGGAATGGCCTTTGTATATGGTTGCTCTTTTTTGCCAACTTTTACTTTAGAACAAGTAGTTGACTTAACTGCTTCCTTCCTATACCAGTTTGGGTCAGATAGCGGTCTGGCTTGATGAACTCGGGCAGGGTTGAGTACTGTAACTTGTTTTCAGTGCTGTGCATTCCACCAGGATTGATGCAGGTTCCTAGGAGCATGGCTGTACTTCCCTGTTTGGTGTATATCTTGGCTAGGGAGAGCAGCAGCTGGATTTGGGTTATAGAGATTTTTAGCTGTAGGTGTCAAATGGAGTGTCCTTATGGTATCATCACAGCTTTTTGTCCAGTTATTGAAAGATTGGTATCAGCAGTGATTCAGAAATATCTTGTTGTTGATGCACCACATGCACATCTTAAAGGCCAGGTAATCCACATGTGCCTTTGTTTCAAGGATAGAATCTTTGCATGGCTTTATTACAAATGTGAACCAAAGCTAGAACTGGCACAGGGAACAACTGGCCAGGAGCAAAGCAATGTTTATGTGCATGGCCTGCGTGTGCTGCTGGCACTGCCCTCTGTAAAGGTGCTAAAATTAACATCCTTTGCTTTGAGAGGGAGCTGTTGGCAGCATATTCTGCATAGGCAGTTGAGCATTTTAGTAGTCTCCCTTTAGAGTAGCCTTTATTTGCCAACTTAAAGGAAAGATAATTCATTATCTGTTCTTTATGTGTGGTTAGATCCATTTGTTGCTTCTCCGAAGTTGGGGGAGAGTCTGGGGTAGGTCTTTACATATATATACACACGTGTGTGTGTGTGTGTGTATATATATATATATATATATATATAGAAAAACCCACGGGGGTGCTAAATTGCATTTAAAATCCTGTAGCAAAATTGGCCTGGCGGAATGCTAACTTCCTTCCTTGTTGACTCCCTCTTGTTTCATATTCCTACAGATTTATATATCGAGCTGCCTTGACTTATTTGAGATCATTAGCTCAGTATACTTCAAATTTACTTAAAATTGTACCATGAAATAACAATGCAAACTTTTTAGCCCTGGAGAGATAATTCACTTCATTTATTCTGCCATCTTTTTTTATTAAAGATAGTAGACATAGAACACGATCCTAATGCAAGTGACTCACTGGAGTATGATGCAGAGTGGATTGCAGTCCTCAAGGCTACCAACAGTCTCATTAACGTGACTCCGAGGTCCTGGAATATGCCTGAAAATAATGGCCTCCATGCAAAGTAAGTAGCAGGCAAACCAGGGAGGAAAATGTGCTTTTCTTGCGCTGGAATTATGCTTGTATTTGTCTCTTCTGCAGCCTGTCTACAGGCTAGATAATTGCCTTGGAAAATGAAGGGGCTGGTAACAAGAATAAAGCTTCTTTGCTGCTCTGTGAGCAATTACTTTTTTGTGGGGGTGGGGATGGAAGTACTGGGATATGCCTCTTCTCGGGGAGCGGGGGGAGATACTTTTTGAACAACAGCAAACATGTATGTGGGTGATTTTGTCAGTTACATTCTGAGTTTGAAAATCTGTCTGGATTCCTAGATTAGGATAGTATTATTACTGAGTGTGGTGAGGTAATACGTAAATCTTTGTGGGAAAAGGGGAATGTCAGTTTTGATCCAGGGTAATGGATGTTCCTGAAAATCCATTTGAGGAGTTTGGTAACTGTGGTTAGAGAAATTCATTGGTTAAAAAGTTTCTTTGCAGTAGGAACAGAAAATATAGACCATATTAACTTGTGGTAACTTTATTTACTTCCTTAGGTGGGATTACAGTGTGACAGAAGAAGCCATCAAAGAAGTGTTAGAAGAGCTGAATCATAACCTCAAAATCCCCAGTAACTTCATACTGACAGCCGCCTGTTTTGATCCCAGCAAACCCCAGAAACAGAGGGAACCAGTTCATACCATCAATCCCCAGACCACTGAATTCTGTGCGCAGTTTGGCCTCACTGACATCAATGACAGAATCCAGCAAGCTAAAGAAGAGGGCTCGGTACGTGGAGAATACGAAGAGGAGGAGGAGGAAGAGGAGATGGACAGTGCTGGCTCTGCAGAGGAACCCAGTGAATATAATACAGATAATTCTGGGCTTTCATCTATTAACCCAGATGAAATCATGCTGGATGAAGAAGGTGGTGATGAGGACTTGAGTACGTGCTCTGTGGACCCTTCCCCTGATCACCCTCCTGACTTCTCCACAAGTTTTTCTGACATCAGGATCATGCCAGATTCCATGGTGGTGTCATCTGATGATGCTATGGACTCCAACAATGAGGACCTGGAGAAATCAGGGGCAAGTAAGCAGGTGGAAGAGAAGAGCTTGAATGAGAGATCTTTAAAGCGTGTTGGTTGTAACGAAAATGGGAACAATGGCATGAAAAAAATTAAGAGAAGGAATCAAGCTATCTATGCTGCAGAGGATGAAGATAAAACGGAATAATTCACATGAGATATAACTTAAGTTCTCTCCCTACCCATTTTACAGCAAGATGGTGAGAGCTGTAGTGAACTACTTACAATTTTAACAGTATTTGATCTTACTTCTGTTACTATAAGCTGCAATGGGGCTGTATGTGCCTCTTGCAGGGAAGAATGTTTAGCTGGATTTAAACATCTAAGCCAGAAGCAAACTCTTCCAACGAAGTACTTGTCAAAGGATTTACAGCTTGTGTATAATGAGTTGATTTTGCTTCTGTTCTTGGTTATTGATGTACACTACTACTTATGCTGTGCAAGATTTATCGTGCTTCTTTAAAAAGATGAGACTTTTAAACTCTTAAGTTGAAGTGAGAGAATGTCTGGCTTATGAGGCAGAAGAGTCTGATTTTATTGCCTTTCTTTTTGTTTTACACTGAAGTTTTAATGCAAAGTTAGTCTTATCAATGACTGAGCTAAATTTGGAGGTGGAGTTACTGGGATGATAAATCGCAATAGAAGCGTAGTCACATTTTTATTTTTGTCTCTGGAATTGGTGATACTCCATATGCCAGAAAGCTTAGTAATCATAAAAGACTATGTCCAATATTGGCTTTTAATTCTCATGCTTGGAATTGGGTTTTCTATCATGATAAAACTGTAATTTTAATTAAAATTGTGGAAGAGAATAACGGTTCTTAAAAACTCACGTGCTGTTTCCCAAAACTTCAGAAACATCTCTCAGAACTAAAGTGTAACTAGTTAGGAAGAGCAGCTTCTGATATGTGAACACATCATTGTCTCAATCCTTACTAAGTAGGGCCATGTTCCCTTTTCATACAAAAGATTGATATTTATGAATTGCTTGAGACAACAATGAAAGCCATTAGCCTGGGGTTTAATGCTTCTTTTCTCTCATGTATAACTTACCTCATTTTTATAACTTGGTCTGGAGTCTTCTAAAGCATCTTCATAAACTTCAGCTGAGGATGACAGGAGCTGCCACGAAACTGGTCCTCTCTGAAGTAGGAAATAATCTTTTTACATTCCTGTTTGCTCCAAATGTATTAGCAAGCAAATTGCATTCCTTTGGGCCTAAAAGGCTGTTAAGATGATAAAACTTGCTGAATTCATGAAAATGCCAATGTTTTCAATAACTAGGGCTGTAAGGCTGATAAATACTATGATTTATGTGCTATGTTCTGCAAGCAGTGTATGCTGCACTTTTTAGGAGTCTGAAGGGAGCAGGACTTCCTCAGGACCATGCTGCCAGGTGTGCTTTTGAGAGCAGGAGCAACTCCCATATTCTTTCCCTCCTCCAAAACCTAGGCACTGTGGAGAAGAAAGCAACTTTACTGGAATAAGGATTTGGGCAAGGAGCCATATGTGTCCCAAATTGGTGAGAATGAGCTACAACAGGAAAACTATGAGAAGAGAACATCTCTAGGCCACTCATCCAGCATTTTCTATCTTGTCAGCACTTAACTATGAAACCGAAATGGACCCAAGTATTCAAGAACTAGGAAAAGACAAAATTGAAGTTATCCGCAGTCTTGACCACGAGCTTTAGCCTTGTGGGTTGATGTTGTTGTAATCCTAAGTGTTCTGTTTCTTCTAGAGAACACTGTGCTGTGTTTTAAATGATTAGCTGGGCTTTGCTAATTTGCTCTTGTATCTCCTTATACTTGCTTCTCTGTCAAAGAGTTGCAAGATGTGATTTAAAAAAAAATGGAATTTTAGTATAACCCCCAACTTAGGTAAAATAGCTCTAATTTGTCAGCTAGGTTACTGAAGGAAGTTGAGAGGCGTCTTTAATGGTCCTGAGTCTGTTGCTAAGACCTTAACTATGCCTATGTTTTCTTATGATGAAGACTATAAGGGAAATGTTTTATTCTCTCTACACCCTCAAAAAATGACATTTTAAGCATAAATTCTACTTGAACTGGGGTGGAAGATGTTGGTTAGGGGATATGTTTTTTAAAATCTACGGAATCAAACTGAAGTGAATGTCTCTTCCCTTTTTGGTAAATGTAGTTTGGCTTTCCAGAAAGCAGGCGGCTTTGCCAAGACAGAATACTGTTTTCGTTGTTTGTTTTCCTAATTTGTTTTTTAATGATGTACTTCAGCACCCAGTGATCAGGGTGCAGACAGTAAATGTCTTTACCACAAAACAACAATGCTCAAGGACAAGCTGTGTGTGATCTGCTTAGAGTTACTGTGCTCTTTCCTCCAGTTATTCCCATCTTCCAATGTGGATCTGCCCTGCCTCGTGACCAAGGGAAAAGAGGGGGGAGCAAATAAAGCTCAGTCAAGCCTTGAGATCCTGAATCTCAAGGCCTCTTTGAAAAGAAATTTTGAAGTTTTTCAAGCTTTAACTTTTTTTATTTTTGTTATTATTATTGTTATTTTAAGGAGAAATACTTGGAAACTTTTGGTCAGAACATGGTACTGCTCCTAATCAGTGTTGGGCATAAAAAAGGTTGGATTTATTCAGAAAAAGATTTTAATGTTATGTCTGAACTACGTGAGAAGACTATTCACCTGTTTCCTTCCAGGCTACAGAGGGGCAGTGTGTGCTAAGCACGTTCTAGTAACCTACACAAAAAGAACAACTCACTTGCAAGGAAAAAAAAAGCTTATACTTCAACAAGTGGAATATTTTTCAAATAAAAGCACTTATTAGATGTTATTAAACTTAACATTTGAAAGTGTCTTAAAATGTTTCTCCCATTCTCCTGGGCCTGTCCCCAGCAGTGCCTGAGCCTGTGTTCCTCCTCACCTGTCCCTAGCAGAAATGAAGAGCTGAGAATTTCTGTGAATTTGTAAAACTAAAGAAATGCGGCTTTTTCTGGCACTCCCCCCTGCCCCTCTGTGCACGCTGCGCCCACCTCCCTTGGCAAGGGACGGGGTAGAGGGCGCATGGGCTGCCAGGGGCTGCCCTAGGAGGGGCCGGTGTCACAGTCGTGGTGGCCAAAAACACAAACAACTGGGGTAGATGCAATGCAAACTACACTTTATTGTTCTCCTAGTACATTATTTTCACTAGAGATAGTAACCACCCAGACAGACCCCAGTTACCAAACAACTGATTCAACCACTCCCATCCATCATCCACTTGCAACTCGCGTGCTCCGTCTCTCAGTATCTGAATACTCTTGTGTATGCATGCACTGTGATCCAACAAATTCATGCAGCACATTCCATTGAAATCTTGACAACCATGCCCTTGTGCTAGTAATAGAAAATCTATTGCAGTTCTATTTTCCATCTGCTAAGGCAAGCATGGTGGCGTTAGTCTGCCTCGCAAGCCAGCATCCAAGCTTGGCGAGTTGCTTATGCGCACCAGCAGCAGCAACTCCTGGTATAAATAAGGATGCAGCGATTGCCTCAGCCAGATTCCAAAATGTAACAGCATTGTCACAGTTCTCATCAAATTTGTGAAAGCTACGGTGCTCCCTGCCACCCCTAGTATGGGCAAGGATCGTGGTCAGATTGGGAGTCAGTAAGGTCAACCTTCCAATTGAACAAGGGCCCCCGTGGGCCCAGGAGGAGATCCCGGGCCAGGCCTGGTCCCCACATATCAAGAATACCCCTCGAGGGAGCTTTAGCGGGTGGTCTTGGCCCACAATCTTCATTGCACTAACATTTGTGGTGGTCTGGTTACACCAGTAAGTTGTGTTCTGGTATATAGGGGAATTGGGACCAACACCTTGAAAGGTTCCCTCTTGATCCCCTCTACTACCCCCCATATAACTGAACATTATACACCAATCCATTTGGAGAGAGCCCAGCAAATCAATCTCCTGAGGCTCACTATAACGTCATACTGTGCCATTAACCCATATCCATCGCCCTTCCGAGCTCCTTCCCCGATGTACTACAGCTAAACAGCAATAGTTCTGACAGCTGGGATTACAATTCTGAGGATCACCACTAAAGTTTCTCCCAACAGTCATCTCGTTACACCATGGGTTGCAGTCCTTGTCATTATAGTAACTCATTGCTGTCACTTCCCACCATACTCGTACTTGTGCAAGCACTCTAACCAGGCATGTGCTAACGGGATTCTGCGGAGCGTTCGTCACTAAGCACAGCGCGTCTGGCCCAATGGCGTTCGCAAGGGTTACCCAGATGTTGCCATCTGGTCCTCTGGTTGGAGCTGGAATCCCGAATCCTCTGCTGGTACATCCAAGGAGGAAGAAGACGAGAGCTGCTGCAACACCAGTCGTATGCACCGGGCTGGAACCCATCGTGGTCCTGTGCCTTTTCTAGATCATTCAGCTGCTCCCTTTTCTGGGCCGTAATCCTTACCGTTGATGGTGAATAGCCTTTGTTGGAGATGGTACACGTCATTTGTCACCTCTGTGCTGATACAGGTTGCGACTGGAAAACTTGAGGTGAACCCGTAGAGTCAAAGCTTCCTTCTCGTCATTCCCTAAGTTCTGTGTGAGGAACACAACTCGAAAAAGGCACAAGTTGAGCAAATGGTTACTGGGGGATGGGGAGTAGACATCACAGCACAAATTTGTCCAGTATAATCCGAATCAATAACACCTACATGAACAATTAATCCACTCAAAATACTGCTGGACCATCCAATTAATAATGCACTGAGTCCTCGACCTATAGGCCCCTTTGCATCCAGAGGCACTTTAACAATATCCGTAGTTGACAGAGTTACTGTGTCGGCGGTGGATACATCCATGCCTGCTGATCCACAGGTTTTCCCTGTGAGACGGTCGCAGAGGGATAAGCCATCGGAGGTGCTCCCATGCATGGAATCACTGTGTGAGGTACTTGCGTCCCCGCGCGCCTCCTCGCGCTCATTTTCTTGTTTCCCGTCAAAGAATGCCCATTAATATGGAGTTTAGATCGACAGTGCCTGGCAAAATGCCCTGTCCTACCGCATCGATTACAAGTATTGTCCACTGGCTTGGCAAAATGTCCTGCTGCTTTGCCTTTTCGTTTGGCAGCTGCACTCTGAGATGAGCAAGCAACCTCAGTATGCCCCTCCTGACTGCACCCAAAGCACTTGGGATTGGGATGAAGAACTGCAGCTAGAGCAGTCATTTTATACGTTACTGTTCCCACTTTTGAACAGGCTGCTACCATTTCAGGAATAGTTGGGTTCCCTGGCATTGCTTCAATTATTTTCTGACAATCTTCATTAGCATTATCTTTAGCTAGCTGAGTGCACAGTCTCTCTCTCAAGTCATCATCCTCTACTTGTTTTTCCAATGATGCAGCAATCCGTTCCACAAATTGTAAGAATGGCTCTTTAACCCCTTGCTTAACTGTTGTATATTTAGGACGGGGCGAG